TTCTGGTCAATTCCCGTTTTCACCCCCAGCCCCTGGCAACCTCTGATCTTTCTGCCAATGAAGATTTCCCTTTTCTGGAAATGGAAGCTTAACAATATGTGGTCTTTTGTGTCTGGCTTCTTTCTCTTAGCATATTTTTGAGGTTCATCCATATTGTTGCAGTATAAGTAGTTTGCTCTTTTTTTTATTGCCAAATAGTAAATAGTATCCCATTGTATGAATGTATCACATTTTGTTTACCATTCACCAGTTGAAGGACATTTGAGTTGTTCCATTCTTTGGGTTACTATGAGTCATGCTAAGGGAGATTTGTGTACAAGTCTTTATGTGGACATGCTTTCATTTCTCTTGTGATATCTAGGAGTGAAATTGCAGTTTTGTATTATAAGTTTATGTTGAACTTTTTAAATAGCAAACTCAGATTTCTTTATTAGATTTAAAAGAGAATGTTTGATCAAGAAGCCAACTTATTGAAACTAAAATTAAAGTTGCTGAAGGAAGTTCTAATTAACGTTCTTGTTAACTGAGGATTAACCATTCTTTTACTCATTTTTAAAACCCTTATTGAGCTAAGCATTGTACTAACCATTCAATATTAGGTATAGTTAACTAAACAGCGTTGGTTTTCTTTGATGACTGGTAATCTTGCAAAGGATCATTGATTATGAACATGTCATTTTTAGTGGTGTGTCAAGAGAATGGGCTAAAGGTATATAGACTTTAGGATATACTGTGAGATTTTTTTTTAGTTGACTTGACTGAATTCCTGAACTAACTTGCTTGGTTTTACTTGCTTTTTTCCTCTAAAAAGAGAGAATAGAAAAAAAAAAAAAAATGTGTGTAGTACCTAGCTTTACAGCACAGAAAGGAAACTTGGACACCCACAGATTCTGTTGATGATGGTCCAAGGAAGTGCAGAGGTTTGGGAGATGGGGGTGGTACAAAGCTGTATGGGAATGAAGGGCCAGGGTATGAGGGATGACTTAGGGAGGTCTGGGTTTCTTGTGGTGACTAACAAAACAGAGATAAAGGACATAAGATTAGTTCTGATGGTCTCAAAGCAGATAGTGGTGGTGATGATCTAAAGCTGAGAAGAAGTGAAGAAACAGGTAAATTCTAAATTCTGTGCTTCATTCAGATATGGGTTACTCTACCTATTTTGAGCTTATATATATATCCATATCCCCCATTTAGATTCCAGAGTTTTAGAATGGCAATATCAGGATGTCATATTACCTTCTATTTTAGAAAAGTCACACATCTTATTTGGGGAGTTATCTGGTAAAATCAGACCAGAAATGAACCAGGACTCCTTAGAGGAACGGCTGACTCTGGGGCTGGGGCAGAGAAAGTACAAGATGAGCTTGGAACATCTTGTGCCCAAAGTAAGGAAAGGTTCAAAGAATACTGGGGCCATGTCAGGGGACACAGGCACCAACTTGAACACAGGTCAGTTCTTGGGTAATTTTACCATCAAGATAAGTGGCAATAGGAATGCATTGTATAATAAAATAAAACAGGAATCCACAGAGGCCTTGCTAATAGAAATAGATGAATACATAATTAATGGAGAAAGGAGAGCTGTACCTTACAGTAGAACACTAAGTGTAGAAGGAATAACAGAATTAAAAAAAAAAAAATCACTGTTTGGCTTTCACCATAATAATAATTAATTCAGGTAAGAATCATCAGTCTACGCTAAAATTGGTGGGTACAAGTGTGTAACGAACAGGATATTTACATAGTTTCAAAGTATCTCCTCATAAAACACATGAATTGTCTATTAATTTATAAGTATTAAATACAAATTCATTAACTTCAGAATGGAGAAAGCTGGAAAACACCATCTTAACCAAGTAATAAAAGTTACCACCACCAGGAATATGACAAATTGACACCATGTGTCTTCCAATAAGATGCCCCGAGAAGAAAACACCATTATTTCTGTAGTATTCTTACCAAAAATGAATAAACCTCGAGGAAAATTAGACAAACTCAAACTGTGGAATTTTCTACAAAGTAACTGCCTTGTATTTTTAAAAATATGTCAAGGTCAAGAAAGACAAGAGAAAACTGAGGAACGAATTCAGGTTGAAAATCTCCTTCCTATGCAGGAGTTCAGCTTCTCTAAGTGGTCTCCCAGCTGGGATGTTCACTACCTTCTGAGGCTACTCATTCCATTTTTTTTAAAACTAGTCCATACTTTATTTAGATTTCTTTAGTTTTTAGCTAATGTCCCTTTTCTGTTCCATGACCATCCAGGTAGTAGTATGCATTCTTTATGGTGAATTGTTAACATATTAAATTATTCATTTTGGCAAACCAGTATACTTTCTGTATTTAATTATAGAAAGTCCATGTTGTTTTTGAAATTTATTTGCAAAAAAAAATCCTGCTAAGAGTCTCAATCTGGTTTATTTTTTAAAAATTGCAATGTTAGATCTATGTGCAAGGATATAAAGTACAGCATGATTGTAGGTTAACAGCTGCATGGTTAAGATTTATTTTGCCTGTATGTTTTTACTGAACGATTTATTTCCCATCCCAAGGCAAGTATAATATGTGGCATGATGACATGTTTCTTAGAAATTTAATTTACTTTGTTGACTACTGCCTGTACCTGTGGTAATTCTGTTTATGACGGAAAAAAAAAAAAAAGAAAAGGAATAGGCTTTGTTTATGGGGATTCAAGTCTAACAGACCACATACACACACGTGCGCACTCTCGCAGTCAGTACTATCACCGTCGCCTCAGAGAGAAATGAAGGCGGGAGAATTTGATGGTCAAGACTGTGATCACTGGAATCTGAGAAACTCAACTTCAAATCCCAACTCTGCTCTCACTTGCCGCCTAACCTTGGGCAGATGATTCAACTGCCTTAAACTTCTGGAAAATAGGAGGATAATTCTACTTCATGGGACTCTTATAAAGAATAGTGAGATGAGGCATACGAAGCAGTTAGCATAGTGCTGACATGTAGTAGTAAGTCCTTATAATGTTGACTGCTATTACTACAATATATACCCAGCTGAAAACTCTAATACAAATGAGCTGGGAAGCATCTAACCCTAGGATGAAGAATAGCAAAAATCAGGTTGTATCAACCCTTTACTTAGGAATGTGAACCACACTTGACTTCTTTCTTTCCCAGAGCCCCACTCTCAGTGACTATTATGCACATTTTCTCTCCCTCACTCAGAAATCTCACTCTGAATACTTACAGTACATACCCATGGTACTCACACTTTTTAATTAAAGCACTGTGTCCTCAAAAATACTTTTCTCAAACTCAAAGCAAACACTGTGCTTGAAACACTATAGAACTTGCCAAAGGATCTGGATGGCAATGACAATAAAGAAACATACAGACTACACTGTAAAGACAGAGCTCTGGACAATAATACAATGGAATTTGGGGAAAACAGTAGGAACTAAGAGGTTGCTTTGAGCAATAGAAATTGAGACCGATGAATCACTTTCTTTCTAATATAGGCTCACCTCCCACCACCAAAATATGTTCAGCAAAACCACAGCCACTGTCCATCCTCAGAGATGCTCTTTCCTCACTCAATACCTGTCTTTCTTCCTAGAAAGCTTTATCTGCTTCATAATTCTTATCAAGTTCGCACTGAAGACAAGGTCACTCATGATCAACTCTCCTTACTAGTTGTCAGTGTTTGCCCTTATAGAATTTTATATTAGTCCAAAAATTATTTATAGAGCTCTACTATAAGCATGCTACTATCTACGCAAAGTGTAAAAAGATGATTAAGGTGATATAGTTTTGCCTTAGAGTTAATTCAAACAGGGATCAGCAAATTATGGCTGGAGGGTCAAATCTGGCCCTGCCCATTTGTTTACATGTTGTCTATGGCTGCTGTTTTACTATAACAGCAGAGTTGAGTCGCTGTGACCAAGATCATATGGTTTCTAAAGCTGAAGATATTTACTATCTTGGCCCTTTACAGAAAAAGCTTGCCAACCTCTGAAATAGGAGATGCAAATATAACAAAAATACCCCACTTCACTAAATGCCAATTAAAAAGCTATATATAAAGAATTACAAGAGTTCAGAAGGTTGGAGAGGTCACTTTCAACAGGGCCATGTTGAGAAAACTTTTTGGAGAACGTGCCAGTAGAAACAGGACTAAAAGAGAATGCAGATAGGTTAAAAACTTCTAGGCAACAAAAAATGATGTAACTACGTGAAGCAAAGAAAAAGCAAGATAGAGGATGGAGCTTGCCAATGAGTTTGGGCATAAAGTCTCTTATGATGATTTGGAAAGGTCTTTTCATTTTTACCATTTTTCTAATCTGCATGTATGTTTTATACAAATCACATTCCATACGCCTCTAGGATCTCTTAATTATATGCTTGCTTTCCAGCTGGTGACCCCACTCTAAAGAGGCAAGCTCACAGATGAGAATTTGGTGACAAATGAACATTATAATTAATGGCGTTCTCTGAAACTGTGCCTTAATTTAGCCTTCTTAATCTTTTCTGTCATTTGATATTTAATATTTATTCAGCAACCAAAGAAGGAGATATTGTTTATCTTCTAAAACAAAGTCACATGACTATGCAACACATTAATTTGCAAAGATTATTATGTTGCTTTTCCCATTTGTGTGCATTCCTATTTCCCAAAGTTCCATGAGGCCAAAAAGCTAGATGGATTAGTGGGACTTATAGTTTTAAAAAACAAAAAATAATTTTGCTTAGATCAGAAAGGATACATTACATTAACAGGTTTAGCAGAGCTATTTCAAAAAGCTTTTGAAAGCTAAGTTTGCATCAAAAAAGAATTTATTGCAGAAAAGCAATTTATTCTTACATGTTTATGTAAAAATATCTTAGGCTCAATAGTAAAAGCTTCTGTCATATTACCTGTTGGCCAGTTATCCAGTAGCTACATTTTTATATCCTGCTTTATGTACTTACAACCTAGGAGAACTGTGAACTATAGTTTTCAAAGAAAAAAAATAGACAAACACAATATTTATAAGTAACAGAAAATGACTGTCTTCTTTGAAGTATATACAATTCCCTAACTATAAAAGAATGAGACATAACATGTAAAACTTTAAGTATCGTAGATTAGGCCCCCCAAAAAAAAAAATCTGGAGGGAGGGGGGAAGGAAGGAAAGAGAGAGAGACAAAACAAAAAAGCTTCTAAACTGAGATAGTTACTCCAAATTCATGTAACTACTCTTGATGTAAAGATGAGGGAAAAAAGGCGTTTCAAACTTAGACTAAATGTTTTACTATTTCAACATAAAATTCCTCCCGAACTCTCATAATATGTACATGATCCTGGAATAAGCTTCTCACTTCTTAGCTTATTAACAATGTGTACATTTGAAAATAAATATATACAATATTTCAAAACAAACCCTTCAAGACCATATTTAAGCAATGACATCCAAGGAAAGGGAATTCAGGCACCATGGAACATTTAGGAGAGATGGCATCTTGAAGATTAAATGTTCTCTTCCTTGCTTGTCACTCTGAAGTCTTCCTTATACACAGGTTGCTTCTAAAGTAGTTTCCTTACGGAGCTAAACATCTTGATGGGCCAAACCCAGTTTCATTTTCTCCAGTACTACAAAAATTAAGAACAAATAAAGAAACAAGTAGAAAATAATTAGCTTCACTGTTCACAAAGAAAAGTAAACAGAGTGATAGTTACAAAAAATGCTTAGAAAGAGATGAACACATAATTCTTCTATAAAAAAAAGTGAAAAAATTACTAAATGCCATGAAGAGGATTTCAATTAACCACAATGTATAGAATTCCTGAGACTTGGCTTAAAAATCAGTTTATATGAGAAAATATTTAGGGGAGGGAATGTTTGCTGACTGTAAGCTCAAGATGACCAATTACTATATGGCAGACAAATCTGGCACCAGGAAGGCAAGAATCCCACTGAACTCTGCAGTGACAGATGATTCATATTTTGAGTAGTATGCCTACATATTGGTGTGACATTTGTAGACAGACTGTGAAAATCTGTAGTTTATTCCACAGAGTGCAGCCATTTCATTCCAGAAATGGCCTGGAATAAAATCAAAGGAAGTGGTCTTGAAATAATAAGAGAGGCACATGTCAAGAGTTGTTTTGGGACCAACACATTAACAGTGTTCAATATTAAAATATCAAGTAGAAATAAAAGAAATCGACATTTTTGGCACCTATTTTATGCTAGGCACCCTCAAAATTATCTGACATAGGGCTTACAAAGAAATATCGGTGACACTACCCTTTCTTCATTATTATTATCTCTTAAATTTAGCATTCAGTGAAACTGATAGAATGCTACCTTTTTTTTCTTTTCTTTTCTTTTTTTTTTTTTTTGGTGAGGAAGATTAGCCCTGAGCTAACATCCGTTGACAATCCTCCTCTTTTTGCTGAGGAAGATTGGCCCTGGGCTAACATTCATGCCCATCTTCCTCCACTTGATATGGGACGCCTGCCACAGCATGGCTTGATAAGTAGTGGATAGGTCTGCACCCAGGATCTGAACCTGCAAACCCCCAGCTGCTGAAGCGGAGTGCGCATACTTAACCACTACGCCACCAGGCCATCCCTCCTACCTATTCCTTTTGAGGACAATTAAATGCAAAAATAATCTACGACAGTAGATGGTTGTCTTTAACATGTACAGATGCTGTCCATCACCCACTCTCTCGGTAAGGACAACTCTGATCATTTTGTTTGGGTGAATATACATTGAGCCATCCGTACCTCATGTACCCTTTTGTTCAATCAAATATATGCTGGCATTATCTTGAAGGAGTTAAGAATGCTGTTTATGTGCAACAAAACTTTGTTTCTATGAACTTCACCTCATTATTACACTGAAAGAAAACGTGAAGGAAAAAAATCTTGATGACAAATGTGTTTGGTTTTTGTGTGCACATGCGTGTATATGTGTAAAATAGTGAAAGATTCTGACTGATTTTAATCTTAGACAATTAGAGTGGCAATTCTAGAAATAATATAAGATATATATATATAGTGTGTGTGTGTGTGTGTGTGTGTGTGTGTATGTTTGTGAGGAAGATTAGCCCTGAGCTAACATCCGACGCCAATCCTCCTCTTTTTGCTGAGGAAGATTGGCTCTGGGCTAACCCCCATGTCCATCCACCTCTACTTTATATGGGACGCCGCCACGGCATGGCTTGACAAGCGGTGTGTTGGCTCGTGCCCAGGATTTGAACCTGTGCACCTCAGACCACCGAAGCAGAGTGCACAAATCCAACTGCTACGCCACCAGGCCAGCCCCAGTAAGATATATTTTTAATGTTAATAAAAGGAACATAATTTAAAATTTAAGACATAGTTTTAATGTTTTCTTAAAGGCAATATCAGAGGAAATAAAAATAAACTTTTCACAGGGTCCTTGGCACTATGTAAAATCATATACATTTATTTGGTACCTACTATGCGCCAGGAATGGTTCAGGTTCTGTGGGAGATCCCAAGTTACTTACAATAAAATGCCTGAAGACAAAATGCTTACGTATAGAGGGAGTCACTGCACGCACACACACACAACACCCCCTAGAAGTTGGGCAAATGGGTGGGGAACTCATTCCAGACAAAGACAAAGGTTATGGTTTTGAGAGGGCAGGTATTGGGTATGAGGAATCATCATGGGGGTAGATCATTCAGAGCTATGAAGAAGGTTCTTTTTGAAGGCTGGTAGAAGATGATGGAAGCTGAAAATTCAGGTTAAAGCCCAATTGTGAAGGGTCCTCATTGACATGTTAGGAAGTCTAAATATCCTGGAAACAATTAAAAACCACACACACGTGTGTGTGTGTATGTATGTGTGTGTATGTATGAGAAAAATGCTGCTACTGCACAGAAGGTCTCTCATATATTTCCTAAATACTTCAAAGTGTCTGTGTCTATGGAAAAAAGATCAGTAATACTATGTAGCAGAGCCAGTCCCAAAATATTCAACTCCCTGTACATTTGAAGAATTTATACGAAAGGGTTTGATATTACCCAGAAGGACAGGAAAACAAGTTAGTTTAACAACGAACCTTACTAAAAGCAGTTAATGAAGCAAAGGGGCAAATCTCATCATGATTACATTCAAGTGTTTGAAAACTTTCCTCAGAGAAGATAAGGAAATTAAATTTGTACGGATGAAAAATAAATGGCAGGGCATTTTAGCTGAAAATGATGGGGCATTCTGCTGACTGTTGCTATTACAATAATTAACTAATCTTAAGACCTTGCAACATGTGTAACATAGCAAGTGCCTTTATTATGTTTGTTAAACATCATGGGTTTTAATGGGTAGTTGTCCAGCGGTGCTGATTACAGTGCAACAAGAGAGCACGTGTGGGTCAATCAAATCCAAGACTGGTTTTTGGTCAATGTGCAAAATAAATGTTATCCCGTATTTATCATATTTATCTCAGATTAACTGTTCCCAATGACTCCTTTTTATATCATACTCTTATTGGCTGTTTGCACAGCTGTATTTTTCTTTTCTTTTGATGCTCAGATGAAAGATTGAGAGAAAAGTTAAAAGATAATTTTTCAAATTTATAAGTCTATTTTTAAAAACTTGCCAGTCACAAAAAAATCTATTCTTATCTAAAAAATTAAGCTTAGATGTATATGGAGAAAAACATTAGAAACTATTGTCTATTTCTACAACCCAGGGTTTTGGTTTGAATCTGGACTTCGTCACCTATTAACCTTGAGAGCTTGGGCAGGTTATTTAACGTATCTAAGCCTCAGTTTGCTCATCCTTAAAACAGGCCTGGTGATGCCCCTACTTCACAGGTGTGAGGATTAAATGAGGTGATGCAGGGAAAGCATTTTACACAGTCGCTGGCATATTTAAGTGTTCAGGCTCTTGTTATCACTAGTATTGTTGTTTCTTTGTTGTTTTTATTCCTCCTAGGATAATTCAAATAAATTGGGAATAGATCTGGGACAAAAAAATGATACAAAAGAGTTCTGTATGACATACTTGTGTTACGTTAGTTATTTATTTAAGTTACTAGTCAGGGAATCATCTAACTCTTAAGAACATTAGTTACTAAACTAAAAAACACTTGGTTTTAGAGCAGAAAAATTTCTATTTGGCCAGAGAATTCAATACTTTTTGTTTTCTTCAATGAAATATGTTACACTGCTGTTCTTTATTCCTACTGGTAAAATAAAGCCCATACAATGTAAACTTAGAATGGATGCTCTGTTCTCTTCTCCTTCGGGCATCCTTTGCATCTATGCTTTCTCAAAGTAGATGAGAGGGTAGAACAGTTACAGTGGAAATATCCTACAGTGGGTTTAGGTGCTCAGGTCAGCACATAAAGGTAAAACAGGAACATAAACAAAATTACTCAAGAAAAGCCCTTCAGAAGACAACACATTAGAAATAGTCATCTCTCAAAAAGTCCAAAACCAGAAGCTTTTCCTCCAGTACTGATGCAAAAAACCTGTTTCTTTGTTTGAGCAGCAGATGGGGCAGATGGCTTGCATTTAGAGGCCATGATGTACAAAAAAACCAAGACACTTCAGTATTGTAATTACATTCAGCATAGTAAGATATTATGTTACGGGAGGCACTTGGGATCTGAAACTCTTCTGAGGGTACCCCTGTCACATTTATTAGAGGACATACACTCTTCAGGGGAAATATCAGGCATAATAACCACACCATTTCCCCCCTTTTATTGTTTTTTTAATCCCCCCAAGTATGTATATATGTATGTATGTGTGTATATGTGTGTGTGTGTGTGTGTGTGTATACACAGACAGACAGAGAGATAGATCGATAGATAGATAGTTGAATTCTCTTAAGTTGAAGGTGCATAAGATGTGAGTACACATTAATGTCATTCACGTGCCCCTCTGCCTGGACCTTAGCTTTTCCTCCTTGAACACCACAGGGGCTAAGTAAGGACTCTTGCCAAATGAATAGCAGTGACGTGTTCTTAGTATCTTGAGCCGGAACTTAGGTAAGCTTTATGAACCCAATCTGTTCTTTCTTATTTATGCTCAGTCTGCAAAAAATACATCTTTAACCTCAGTTAGTCTACTAAGATTCATTTAATTAGATTTAATATGTATTAAGATTAATGGAAACCACACCCCATTCTCCAGACTTCTACCATCAATCAGTGAAGAGAGAGAGAGACAGGAAAAAGCAGAAACTGGAAAGAAATGGACTTCAATGTGAGAGATTACCATTGAAAGGCCTAGTTTTAGAGGAGTAAGGGACCCAAACTAACTGACCTCTACCTTTCTGTGCAGACAAGACTAGAAAGCCCTTTAAAAATCATTTCGGTGGGCAGAAGAGTTCTGATGATGCAATTTCAAAGACAATGACCCAAATAAAAGTGTCTTCCAGTGGAAAATTTGTACCACTAATAGGTGGGTGTTGCTAGGCAACAAATATTGCAGTGTTTAATCTCTACCCTTCCTTGGGAAAGGCATGATGGAAGAAAATAGGGCTTTTCAGCATTTCAATATAATAGTTGTATCTGGCAATTTTTTAGTCATCTTTTAGATTATAATTCCTTTTATGCTGAAACAACTGTAACTTTTGTTAACATGTATCAATATACCTCCACTTTTAAAAAATTGGGTTCTATAATCCATAGTGACTAATAGGAATGCACTAATATTAGCATAAATCAATTAGCAATATGCATCCTTATAATAAACGCTGAGTGACAAAAAAACAGATGTTCGTCATCAGAATTTGAGTGCGCATGCGATCTATTAGTATCAATACTTAGAAAATGTATATGTAGACGTGAGTTCCAAAGAGAAACTTCTTCAGAGATTAGTTAAGAAATAGCTAAGCTTCTATAATTTTATAATTTCAAGACTTGTGTAAGTTAAGCCCTTATTTACTATTTCTTGTACTCTTCAATGCCTAAGCAAGTTCCAATGAAATTTAACATCTTTAGGTTACTCTTATTTTGATATTGTTTCCATTGCACAATAGCATGAGCACAGGTGATATATTTAAGGAACCTTAATAAAACAGCATGAGGGGCCGGCCCCGTGGCTTAGCAGTTAAGTGTGCACGCTCTGCTACTGGCGGCCCGGGTTCGGATCCCGGGCACGCACCCACGCACCGCTTGTCCGGCCACGCTGAGGCCGCGTCCCACATACAGCAACTAGCAGGATGTGCAACTATGACATACAACTATCTACTGGGGCTTTGGGGGAAAAAAAAAAAAAAGGAGGAGGATTGGCAATAGATGTTAGCTCAGAGCCGGTCTTCCTCAGCAAAAAGAGGAGGATTAGGATGGATGTTAGCTCAGG